GTGGGGGCCCCCTGATCTAGGGGATGCATAGCGCAACCGGAGCCACTATTGTAGCTAGTATGCGCCTTATAATGCAATGCGCCCTATATATGAAAACCGTTTTAAAATAGGCCACTCATTGAAGGGGCGGTTTATAATTGGAATCGCCTTATGGTGCAGAAAATATGGTAATATAAAAAAAAAAAAAAATTATATATATATATGTAGATATATATATATGTATACATATATATAGCACACAGCTCACAGCAAGCTCTGCAGAAGCCTGATAATGACCCCGTTCATTTGAATCGGGTGCGGTGAAGGAGGGTAGCATCTGAAACATGCAGGATAGTGTCCCTCAAGGACCGGATTTGGAAAGCCCTGTTATATGGCAAAGACACTCTAAACCTTTCACGAACAACCCGGGCTAAACTTGGCTGATCCTGAACAACGCTTTTCTCACCATTTCGGGCTTTGGCTGCATCTTGCGCCATGACAAAAACTGCATACGTAATTGATTGGAGTAGGCGGAGAAAACCACATCATAATTCCCGACACATGATGGGAGATAATTATGAGTTTGCACGCTTTTTGAAAGTGCTTTCGTTGCTGTTGGCGTTATGTGTGTACTCTGTCTTGCGTGGGAGGTGTGTGGGCGAGCGAACTTTGATCCAGATCATCCCATGCCAATAAAAATTTGACGTTACTCAATGCAAGAAAAATGCAAAGGTGTTTGCTTGGACGTCTCGCCCTGAAACTTCTTTTGTGCATATGCGGTCAATTCCCATTCATGTAGGCGGTGACTTTAACAAAGCATTTGAGTGTCTACTAATAGTTTGACTCCTCCTACATGATTGAATACGTGAGAAACAAGTCAATTTGCAATGTCGTGTGCAGCGGGAGAGGACTGTCCAGTCATGTCAGCTTGCTTCTTCTGCAGTGCAAGATCCCACTTGTGTGTAACTCCGTTGTTGTGCTTGCTTGGCTTTCCTAGATGACGAAGAGGCACTCAACTCAATCATGAAGGACCTCGCAGCCCTTGGTTGCTGCTACACTCAGCACAACAGCCACAAGCCCAAAAGCAGGACCTTACTGTACAAACAGGTAACACAGTCCACCCAACCAAGAAATGATGTGGAGGGAAAAAAAACATAGTTGTACTTTATATTGCCTTCTCACCAAATATGGCAAGTTGCTACGCAAAGAACAACACTCGACAAACATGACTGCCATGCTTCCATTAAAAACGACACTCCACAAAGATCGCTGTCACAGCAAATCCACAATCGCAGCCGGCATGCTTGAGTGAAAACAATTCTCCGCAAACATTCCCTACGAAATTTGGCGGCCATGCGACACTTGAACAATATTCCACAAACATGGCTGACCCTCAACTGAGCACAATCCTCCACAAACGTGGCAAACATCATGCAAAATGCAGAAGACAAGCATGACACGCTTTGCTGAAAATGAGACTCCAAAAAGATGGTGGAAAAAAAGTGCACCGAGAACGTTACATCATTCCGTGAGCATTGCGGAACTATGACGCAAACAACATTCCACCGACATGGCGGAAGCTGCGCTTCACGAAACTTGGCTGCCATGCTTCACTGCTAACATTATTCCACAAATATGGCGGACGAATTGCCAACCTGAAACATGGCTTCTGGAGAAAAAAAAAAAAAACAAAACATTCCACAAACATGGTTGACGCGCTTTGCCGGCAGTGCACAGTCGTTACAATTATGATAAACAAAGCTTGGCGTAAAAACAAACATGGTTGACGCGCTTTGCCGGCAGTGCACAATTGTTACAATTATTATAAACAAAGCTTGGCGTAAAATGATCACGACACACATATGGCTGGCATGCTATCCTAAAAAAAAAAAGGCGACGCTCCACAAAGATGGCGGGCAAACATTGCTGACATGCTTGTACAGGGGTACCTCTATGAAATTCATTGGTCCTGGAAGAAATTTGTTAACGTGAAAATTTTCTAAGTAGAGATGCGTTTTCCATGTAAATGTCCTAATTCGTTCCAAGCCCCCCAAATTCAGACATAAATGTTTCCTAAAGCATAAAAGTGCATCAAAATATGAAACAAATACATGTTACAATTAGATTATTGCACAATAAATGAGAGTTGTGCATAATGTAAAAAACAAAGATGGTTAAGAATTAAAATGTGTCCTCATTGTTTTTTGCCCTCTTTAGTCCATGTTCTCGCTCAGAAGTGTTTTTTGCCTGGCGTTTTGTAAAGAACTGATCCAAGGACATTTGCTTTTGTCGGCTTTTAACAATCCTTCGAAAATATCCAAGGCAAACATCAGCATAATGAGCGATCGCCCGACTGGTGAACACTTTTTCTAAACTAAACATACGGTAGAGGTCCCTCTTCGCCGATGGGATGCCAGGATGATGGTCACTAATAGCCAATGGCAGAGCAGCTATAAGTATGTTGCGTTCAGGAAACTCGGAGCTGCCATACTGTATTTTTACCTTTTTCGTGTCTTGAAATTTCTTTTGTAACAAGAGGCAATATTGTCCTGTTGAGACGTTTCGTAACTTGAAAATTTCATATGAAGAGCCGTTTGTAAGTAGAGGTAACACTGTCATTGGAAAAAAAAATATTGTTTCGTAACTTCAAAATTTCATATGAAGAGACGTTTTTAAGTAGAGGTAACACTTTAATTGGAATAAAAATAGTTTTTGTGTCTGTTTTAAGATGCAGTAATGACAAATAACTAATGAATAATAATAAAGTGCGCAGATAACCAAACTGCGAGCAAGAAGAGGTGCGCCATGACCTCACACAGACTTGCAGGCCCCTCCGGATTCCTGCTCCCTTGGGTGACACATTTAAAAATAGAAAACCATTGCGTTTGTCTGATGCAATCACATCACATGCCGTTGTGTGGAATAGACCAGGGGGTGTCCAAAGTCTGGCTCAGTGGAAATTTGTGGCCCCTGGCTTATTTTTATTGGCCCCTCATATAAATAGAAATGAATAACCTGGCTTCAAAGATGTCGCAACCCTTGGAGAATTGAACTTAAACTTCAACTTGATTCCGTAGAACTGTGAATCACTGAATCATTTGGTGAGTTTTTCAGTACGTGAAGCAGCTCAAAAAGACAAATTGGTTGCCAGAATTGAAGCGATTTCACACCACTGTGCTCAAGTCCTAGCAAAAAGGCTTTCGGTGCATTTTGACAGACTGATTTGAGTTCTCCGACATTATACTGCAAGTGTGAATCACTTTCAAGCTTTTTGTGTCAGGAGAAGGGGGGGACCAAAGCACAGTTACATGCTCGAATCGCGTGAAGACAAGGAAGCATTTTTTTTTGCCTGACATTTAGTGGAGGCCTAAGGTCTCCGGCTTGGGAAGCTGAAAACTCACAAGGTTATGCCGACATCATGCTTTAACCCTGGTTTGAATGTCTTGAGGTGTTCCTTTCTGAAACAATAGTGGGTCAACTTGAAAATTGGTCTTTTTTTTTTTTTTTTTATCAGCATTTTCATATAATTGCGAGAGAAAATAGACGGACAGCACATAATAGGTTCAGAAAAAGTAAGTGACATATTTCTCAATGTAAACATTAGAAGTAATATGTCTATCTATGTAAAAAAAAAAATAAATAAATAAATACATACTTTTTTTTTCAGAAAACATCTCAAGCAAGAGCAATTTTTCATTCATCAAATATCGCCGTATTTTACGCACTATAAGGCACACCAAAAAGCATTCAGCTTTCTCAAAAGCCGACAGTGCGCCTTATAATGCACCTTCCATCTGGATCAATATTCTGATTTCTTGGATGTAGTATTTTAAATGTTATGTAAAGCGCTTTGTTACAGCTGCAGCGGTTGGGAAAGCTCGATATAAATAAAGCTGTGTTGTATTGTATTCCTTTCAGTGTAGGTCCATCTAGTGGATGCATAATCCAACTACAGCCAGTGTTGTAGCTTCTATTATATGCGCCCTTTAAAGCGGTGCACCCTGTATATGAAGTTTTAAAATAAGCCATTCATTGAAGGTGCCCCTTATAGTGCGGAAAATATGCACTATACACCGAGCCGATGCAGACGTAAATGTACGCATGCTTATTGCTTCCATCAATAAATAAACACAAATACCTCTCAATTACCGTGTCAAGTGAGCACATAGTAATTTTACTTTATTTTAGTTTTACTGCAATGTGGTCTCGTTTTGTAATTGCTTGGCACTTCCAAATGTTGAAGTCTCACTTAAAACACAGCCTGAACAGTTAGTTTTAGTTTAGTTTTTTTTCCCCCCTCTTTTTTACGACAGCCTGGAACAAATGAATCCGCTTCCCGTGATTTGGCCGCCGTCGGCCGGTCTGCCTGACTCAGTAGAACCGCCTTGCCCGTCCACAATGGAATCTAATTGGACCGTCTCTCTTTTCATTGGCAAGCAGTTCAAGGCAGGAAATGGGAACTTCGCCCCCCCCCCCCCTGCTTTGCTTCAGTGCCTGAGGGAGCACACACGAGCTCTCTCTGACTCTATGCACAATACATGTATGATTTGTGTTTGCTTGTGTTATTAATGCAACTGTCCCTAGGCTCATTCAACAGTGCTTCACTTGATTGGCAGATTGGTAGTATCAGACACAACGCACTCTGCAGTCATTTCACACCATGAAAACTAAGTCCATCTCATACCGTCATTTCCAAGTGACACTCAGTCACGCGTCTGTCATTCCTACAAGTGCAAAGAAATTACTTTAGTTCAGCTGTGTTTTTTTTGCGTCGCTAACATTGTCATGATTGAAACACGAGTACGTTTATTTTGCTCTAAATCTGTGCAGGGCTTGTGTGTGCACGCTCCCACATGCTTGCTTTTGACAGGAAGGAAAGGCATATCTGTTTGGAGCAGCATCCTCTAAGCGGCTCTTTATCACACACATCATCAGGCAGTATAAACAGAGACGACCAATGTTTAGTTGTGATCTGCAGGCCTGCCCTGTCTTCCCAGAATCCTCTTGTCCGATGAGGAAACTAGCGAGCGTTCATTAAGATAGGCCCAGTCTTGTCCTCTGATGGGGAAATGACGTGGGTGAAACAAGCCCCCCCCCCCCCTCACCTCGATATCAGTTAACCTCAAGCTTTGTAAGCCACACACCCCTTGCAACTCTTTTTGGAGCGAAAGAATAAAATAAAATAACGTATTTATTCGGTAACCTAACGCTACGAACAGAAAAATGTGATTCACATTCGGAACATTTGACAGTGTACATGACCTAGTCCTTTCGAATTTGAGAATTAGAGAGAGAATTACAGAAAAATAGGCAAAAGGAAAATTGGTTTGCCTGTTTACTTTTTTGGGGGAGGGGGGTGTCTATCTTTGCATTATGTGTCCTAAAATGTTCATACTTTAAAAAAAAAAAAAATGCATAAATAAATTTTTTTTTTTAAAGAGCTAATATTGGCGGATTAATTCGGCCGAACGATTAATTTGGCCGAACGATTAATTGGTCGTACTCTAGTGTGGGCTTTTTTTTTTTTTTTGGTTTTGTTTTATAAAGACACTAGAGCAGGGCTTACCAACCTTTTTGAGAGTGAGAGCCACTTCATGTATACTGATTGTGTGAGGGGCTACCAAATTGATATACAGTCATACCTCGGTTTTTGACCATAATCCGTTCCAGAAGGCTGTTCGAAAACCGATTCATTCGAAAACTGAAAACACGCTCTTTTAAAAAAAAAAAAAAAAAAAAAAAAATTCATTAACACGTCTGCTCACAATGGAACGCTACACGAGGAAGCGCTACTTCCTCGTCTACCTGAGGAAGCGTCACTTCCTCGTGTAAGGAAGGCAAGAGGAGTCAAGTGGCGCATTCAAGTGCGCTCAGTTTGGTCGACAACCGATTTTTGGTCGTAATCCGAGGCATAAAAAACTCGAAATTTTTGGTCGAAAACCGATTTGGTCGAGAACAGAGACATTCGAAAACCGAGGTTTGACTGTATGTCTGAAATAACACATTTGTCCAAATTACCTTTTAATAAATATGAAAAAGTGTAATTTTTGCCACTCGAAGATTTTAATTTGCAGACTCTGATCATGTTAATGATGTCTCACAATACTGCCGGTGTTTGCATTTTTAAATGATCATGTTAATGAGCAAATCACAATGTCACAGCACTGGCGGGCTACTCATATGGTCCTCAGGGGCTACCTGGTGCCCGCGGGCACCACGTTGGTGACCCCTGCACTAGAGACTTGGTTATGGTTTTGATGGCAGAAGGGGGTGCGTCGCTTCCTGTCGGGATGTCGAAGGGGGTGCATACCTTATTGAGTCTTGGAAACACTGCTTTAAAAGTATCCATAATAATTTGGGGGCGGACGAAAAGTTTTCCTACCAGAGTTGGTGCACCCTCTTTGACGCTGCCTTTAAAAAAACAAAACAAAACAAAACAAAACATCATTTCCAAATGTTTAAACCCCTTTTAACTCATTCAATACCAGCCAATTCTGAACCAAGTCTGAAAAGACGTTTAAAAACGTCTTTGGGAGTGAATGAGTTAACATCCCGATGCACTCTGTTTCCCCAAACACCCCTTCAACAAATTCAAGCCTCGAATGATTGAGCTTGTACCTTCCTTCTTCCCTCCCTTCTCCCCTGACATTTTTTTTTTAAATCCCTATTGGATAGTTTTCGAGAAGTCCGTTCTCTTTTTTTTCCCCCAAGGCGCACCCCCTCCAGCAACAACAATGTTTAAAGGCATTGTTATCAAGCTGCACTGAACAAACAATTTGATTGGCCGAGGCACGTTGTTACACACGCGATTGTTGTGTGTATTTCCTGTGTACACACTTTCGCTACCGTAATGACCCCAAATATTCCACAACTGAAATGGCAAGTGTGGCCCGAATGACAAGTGTGTCTCTGCGCAGAAACGACAGAAAAGTGAACACGAGCACACACTCTCCTTTTGTTTTCTCAGGCCCGTCAGCATTATTTTCTGGAAATATCTCAGCATCTCTCTTTCGCTATCTTTCAGTCTGTAAGAGAGGAGGGAAAGACAGACATCCTGCTGCGTTTTGCTGCCACTCTACTCTTTCTTTCTTTTTTTCTTTTTTTTTTTTAAACCATCCCCACTTGCTCTCAGGATGTTTCCCATCTGCATTTGTGTGTGTTTGTGTGAGTGTGTGTGTCTGTGTGTGTGTTTGTTTGATCTGAAGCTGGGATGATGAGGGGGAAGCCCGATGGTGTTGAAATGGTAGCCAACACGCACCCTGATTGCGCGCCCTTGCACCGATTTATTTACTTTTGTTGTTTTTTGTTTTTTGCAAATTTTTACGGGGCACCGATAAGAAAGCACACTTGCTCACCCACGTAGGCGCGGCGCATACGTGCACTTAAGACGGTGCCTCGACGAGATTGCTTCCGGCGGGGTAGCATCACTTAACTTTCCGAGAAGACTTGGCGCACCCCCTGTCCCCTTACACATTCGGGAAACGTTGGCGAAACAAAGTCGTTTTAGGACTGAAAAGAGAAGCCTTTCTCAAACTTTTAAAAATTTGATTCAAAATGATTTGTTTGGACTTCTTTTTAGCGTCGGTGAAGGGATGAGGGGGTAAACCAGATTTTGTCATGTTGAAGGGGTTGTTTTGCTTAAAAAGTTTGAGAAAACTGCTCTTTAAAAGTTTACACACCCCCTCACCACTGCATCAGCCATCTATCCATTCATCCATTTTGTGATCCGCTTATTCTCACAAGGGTCACAGGGCGTCCTATCCCAGCTGTCTTCGGGCTGTGGGCCTGGTCCACCAAGAACTGGTTGCCGGCCAATCGCAAGGCACACGCATAGATGTAAAACCATTCACACTCACAATCACACCGAGGGACAATTTAGAATGTTCCATTAGCCTGCCATGCATGTTTTTGGAACGTGGGAGGAAACCGTAGAACCCGGCACAGGCACGGAGAGAACATGCAAACTCCACACAGGAAGTCCTGAGCCGGAATCGAACCCTGCACCTCTGCACTGTGAGGTGGACGTGATTACCATTCATCCACCATAAGCCATATATTTTTTTTTTCCAGTCTTAACAAAGCCCTCTGGATACTTAAACTGGTAACCTTTACCACAGCATCATTTAGCATCAATTACCCATCAATTAGTGGCAACAGTCGGCTCCCACCACCACCACCACTTCCTGCTCTCCCACCATGCTGCACTACGTTTTAAATAGCTGCAAAATTGCTGACGCGAAGCCAGACTTCCGCTGCAGTATTCGATTATGTGCAAAAATGATTGCATGACAAAAAAAAAGAAAGAAAATCTTAAGTCGTGTGAGTTAATGGCAGCACAACCTGTAATATCATACAAACGAAACATGCAGTCTTCCCTGAAATCACAACTGCTGATTAAAACAAAAAAAAAGACAAAAAAAAGAAGAATCCACACCTCAACGCAATCAATCGATTCCACACACTTGACCTATTTTAATCAACAGTGTGTTATAATGCTTATCCCCTATTTTTTTTAACAATTATACAGAAGGAAAGGTTTGCGCTTTTGTGCTCAACCTATTGTCTCGACGTCCAAGGTCAGGTCACAGAAAAATTACTTATTATTACTAGCCAGCAAAAAGGACTGATATTTGTGCCCATTTATTCCAATCAGGTTGATAGATGTTTTTTAAAAAAAATATATTTGCACCTCTCTTGCCTCCCAGGATCATCCCATTCCAGAGGCCGCTGAAGATCAAAGAACTCCTCCAGAAAGTGACCGAGGCCTTTGGCCAGCAGATGGACATGTTCTTCATGGAGAAAGAGGTACTGTGACATGTTTAACTCTTATTGTGGAAATGGAACGATTTGGGTTCTTTTCATTTCATCTCAATTGCTTCGGCCGAGATCGATGAGGGTTGATTACACAATGGGAGACAATAATATACTGCAACACGATTTTTTGAGATTAGAAAAAAAAAAAGAAAATGATTCATGAACCCTAATAAAAATATAAAACCGTCAAAGCTGAAATGCTGCAATGATTTATGACACATCCACCGAATATTACATCTGGATTTCATGACATCCCCTTGTCAAAAAAATTAAAAGGTCATAAATCAGTTTTTGTTTTCACAGTGTGGTTTGCTCTTCTACCTCTTGAGTTAACGAATCGTAGCTTACCCAATGAATGACCGAAATGGATGGCACCTGTATATCTGCAAGGAATGGGTGTGGTGTCAACCTTAAATCGATTTTCTGTTCTCCTCCTGTGAAAGAGGGTCATAGATCAACCTTTTTTTTTTTTTTGTCCCAAAGGCAGCCCTTTCGACCTCTTAAACTAAATTAGCATACAGTGCAGAATGGGTGAAAGACATAGACTGCACCCCAATTTCTGGCAAAGAATATCTTGATATTTCAAATTCTAGACCTTTTGATTTTATGAACTCCAGTTGCCAAAAGGGCCATAAAGCAATCATTTTAATGATGACCCCCTTATAATTTAGGTAGGCCATTTAATTGATGAAACATATGTATATATGTATGTACCG